ATTCATGATTGATTTGCTTTTTCCGCTGCTACAATGTCTGAACTGTTGCTGAATGTCTGCTCTTTGAATTTAGCTTATAATAAAGCTGGTATAAATTCAGTCTGACTCGAGGGTAAGCTCTTCTGTTTTGGCTGCTGTTTTCACATTTCAAAAGAAATACTTATATACCTGAGCCATGCATCACATACAGGGCTTTTATAAAAGTGTTAAACATGAAAATGATGCAATAAAGAGTATCAATCAGAGAGGTGCCAACAAGACCTGTGGAGGATCTGTGGATAGGAAAACTAATTGTGATGTATCAAACAAATGAGGGCTTTATAGAAGAAAGGAAGCCTTAGTTGGTCCAAAGTCAATCAGCAAGTTAAAAGATTCTCTAGCCAGATGAGCCTAAAATTAAACTTTTTGGCCTACATGGAAATGTCAAAGTTCAGCTGTGAATGTAATGTGGTAGAAAATCTACTGTTCTGTTCCTCAAAATCCTAGTGAAACGCATTGACATTCATAGTTACACATTTAAATAAAATGTAAAAACACTCCAGGGGTAATTCATATGTATATAGAGTAGACTACTTGTTTATACGCCGCTACTGGTGGTTGAGTGTTGTAGGAAGAGTGTTTATTTCTAGTAGACGTTTCTTTCTGGAGGTTTTGTCGGCTGGAGGTCAGCCAGACCTGTAACTTCCATGTTTATCACCCACTGAAGTAACTGAAAACACTGCAGTGTCATAACATGAAATGGTCTTCCTCTGTGTTCTGGAATCTGGAAGCGGACCACTTTGGTTCAGCTGATTGAGAAGAATTAACATCCCTCAGGTGACATCCATGGCCAATCCAGTTGGAGGGATCAGAGCCATATTTCATTTATCCTCTATTTGTTACACCAACAGTATATTAATCTCCGTATTAATTATCAGAACTGAGGAATACTCTTGATTGAGAGGTGAAATGTCTTCTAGAAAAAATCCAGTCGCCAAAACTGAACTTATAAAGCAAGAATGCAAAGAGCATCAATATGCATTAAGTCCACAGTTGACCTAAAAATAAAATTGAGCTAATACTTGAGTCCACACATGTGAGGCGTTGCTCTAAACTATAGAAAAGCAAAGCCCAATGATTTGATTATTTATTTTAAGCAATAGTGGTTTTATATTTAAATGTTCTTGTAATTCTTAAACGAGCTGAAACAGTTGGATGGTGTGGCTGAGCAGTCATTATGGTTAAGTGATTTCTAACTTACCAGACTTCCTTAGTTCTTTTTTTTACTACCACAAGTCCAGTTAGTGAAACAAATTATATACATGTGATCATTTTTTTTGTAGACAGCCAAAAACTATGGATACATACAGTTTTGGGTTTTTAATGCATTTTAATTCACTTTGATTATACAACTGATGTCAACTCAATACACTTTGCAAGGGATACTGCTATCATTGCATCTGTTAGGTGTCTTTCTGCCTCTAGGGGGCATAATACACTAACATGATGAGGTCAAGTTCTTGGGTCTGGAGCACTCACTTAAAGGCATAAAATAATCTTAAAACCTTTTCAAGATAAATCTCAGTAAATGTTTACAAAACACAAAACTGCAAATAAAAGCCTCTTGCATTTTTTTTGGATGCAAGCAACAGATCTTAATAACAATGTCTTAAATATTCTCTAAAATAAGGCATTGGCATAAATGATATCCTTGTAATGAAAGAAATATGGCTTCCTGTTTAAATAAAATAGAATCTTAATGGTCTTTATATGACCACACTAAAGTTAGTTTAAGGCAAAGAATGCACATTTGTGAGCCATTAAGGTCACATCTTCTCTCCACTTTACACCTAATAAGGTGAATATAGCAAAAAAGGAATCTAAGAGTCCCTTAGAAACATCTTTGAGATGTGCTGGACACAGTCACTATATTTCAAATGTTCTCCTTTGTTCATCCCTGGCAGCACAGCGGCAGGACATCCTCAGCAGGGTGAGGGAGCATCCTCATGGCTTCCCTGGTGGTTCTGGTGAAGCTGTTGGGGAAAACGAAGACCCTCTTTATGGTGAAGAAGGAAGCCGTCCTGTCCCATAGGTCCAAACCGCTCCTCTCTGCACACAGTTTGCTCTCCAGATCTGAGCGGAGCCTTGCAGCTTTGTTTGTGCACTTCTTTTCCAAAATGCTCACCTTGCACATGCTGAGAAGAGACAGTATTACATTTTAGATATTTAGATTTGATTTATCAAAGACACAGCAGAAAAAGGTCTGAGTAATGAAAGCAGACTTTTAAAAGATACAATTTATCCAACTATTAAATCACCACTCTAATATGATTTAAAACAGACCCTGACTCCAGGCCAACTTTAAATCCAACTAAAAGTCCAGGAAAAGCAGTGATGTGAACTTACACAGTGCGCTGATTCCTCATGTTAGACGCTCAGGCAGATGTGAGATGTTTAGGACTTGATGGGGTTTTCAGTGTTATGATTTCACCAACCAAGACCATCCTCCTTTATATACTTCATGACAAATTTCCCACTGATTTAATGCGCTGCTGGTTCTCACCACAATTGGCCAATCACAAAGCAATCTGATGTCAAAAGAAAGTGAATAAATTAGTTGAATTCCTGGTAAACAAAGAAACAGAAGGGAGGGGCTCCCATGATGGTTTATAATAGGAATATCCTGGGAATTTTGGATGAAAAACTAGTTTCTGATGTGTGTTCGGGTGCCCCTGTTTAGCACTTTTTATTTTTATTTCTAAGTTTTTACCTATAGGTTTATGTTTTTTGTCCAAATGTTAGATAAAATGTACATGTTTGAAAAAAATTTGCCAGCAAAACCAGCAGACATCCTGAGATAACTTTAGTTGAGTCCTTTAATCTACACTGCAAGAAACTGAAATCTAAATAAGTGCATTTCTTCTTGGATTTAGGAGGTGACACACTTTGCCAATGGAACAAGATGATTTACATCTAAAATAAGAAAAAACAATTGCATTATTTTCCTTCAAGTGCATTATATCTAATTATCTTATTTTAAGAGGGAAAGTACTCATTCCATGGGCAAACAACTTATTTAACAACTTCAATTAAGGGTAAATATACTTAATTTAAGAAATGCTGACTTATTTCTGGATCATTTTTCCAGTGTAAAAAACAATCCTCATAAATAAGAAGTCACAGCTCCTCAAATTTGTCTGAAAATCAAGCCCTAAAAAAAAGGATTCTCAACTTACACACATTTGATCTTTTTATTTAACGTCTCGTCTCTATTTCAGCCTCTATTTCTCACGGTGAACATCTCTCATGCTTCACTGACTGACAAAAGCACTCGATCCATCCAGATGGTGTGCCTGGAAGCCCAGTTGACAACTTCACCTTCTTTGGTGCGTGTGTGTGTGCCTTAAAGGGTGGGTTGGTCACTAGGCCTTTGTTTGATGGGGCACACTTCCTTTGTGCAGCCTGCCTTGGAGTCATTAACACTGAAGTGTGGGAAGCCTGGGACCACAGCAGCTCCCACGTTCCACACTGGCAGGAAGGGAGCGTGTGACCAAGACGTGGCCAGCGGCAGGCAGATCAGCCTGTTGTGTGTGTGTGTGTGTGTGTGAGGAGGGGGGTTGTGCCTGAGGTGTTGACATGTGCTGAGAGCGGGAAAGCTAACAATTGAAGCATGCTTCTGACACTTTACTTACTTCATTCATTGTAATCCAAGATGGTGGTCATCAGACAAAAAGACTACGTTTGAAAGGATTTTTGTAATCTAGCGCTAAAGAACATAAAAGATTAAAATCTGATGGTGAAACCAGAGTTCCTAAAATTATTTTAGCTTAAATATATGAAGCACCCAGATATTCTAAAGATGCTTTCTTGCAGAAATCATACGTCCTCTCAGAAACAGCCCCAGACCATCACACCACCACCATGTTTAACTCATGTGTTCTCTTTCCTTCTGCTTTGTAATGTTTAGTCCACAGACTCTGTCTCTGCCTGCGGTGTTATAGGTGTCTGAACGGCCTAGTTAAAGTGCTGCCTTAAATACTACTGATAATCTGAGAAAAGATGTTCAGAGATGCTCCCCATCCAACCTGAAATCACAGGCAAAATTATTGGGAACATATATGGTTGAACCAATACTGAAAGGAGAAACATCGCTTGTCATTCATAGAGAAGCTTTCTTCATGTAACTGGGAACAGACCACTGTGAATTCCCCTCCTTGAACGTGTGCAACAATTTAATATTTTCCCCATTTTATCTTGTTTTTTTCTTCTTTAGATTTTGAAATTATATAAATGTAATACTCCTGCTTTTTAAACTTCAACAGTGAAATCATGCTCCATGTTGTTTGGGTTTAGTTTGTCAATAAAATTTCCTTTTGTCTGGTCCAAATGTTAAATGTGAAAAGTATGACAATACTTTTGCAAGCAAGTGCATGATTTAGTGTAACATTTCACTTATAACATATTTACTTTAGTAAGACAACAGAAAAATACATTAGTAAGTTAAAATCAGTACTCAGTTCACATATGCATATTTTTATCCAGATGCCTCCAGAAAAAAACTTCTCTTTTCTTAGCATTTCTTAGCTGTCCCAACTGTTGCGTCGCAGCACCAGAAGATTTTCCCGCCTCAAACAGGTGGAAGTGGCTGCATGTTGGTCTTTTCAAGTAGCTGGCCCTGTGTAACACCCACGTGTGCCTGGTGGCAGCGGCACTTTGTCTGCAATTACGTGGCAGTAGAGATGACATGAGACAGCGGCATGCTTCCCTCTGGGGTCACCACTTTCCCATATCAACACAAGCGGCGGGTCATTCTCCCAGCTCCAGTCCCCCTCCTCCTCCCTGCCCGCTCCACCCCAGGCTCTTTCTCTTGTGGTTTATTTCTCCACCTGCTCCCCAGAGGCATACTCATTGTCCCCATGGCTATAAACACTTCATTGAGCATGTGGCAGCCCTGCGTTCCCTGAGGCCCTTCCCAGCGCTCCCATTGGTCCAGGGACTGTGAGAAACTCCAACAAGCCTACGACTCAGACATTCATATGGAGATCTGGGTGTATAAATACAGGACAGAAGCCGAGGGGACAGCAGCACAGACTCAACTGGCTCTTCAGACTGAGCTGAAACACTCTTACTCTGCAGCAATGGCGCCTACTGCTTATGGACAAGCAAGCAAGGACCACCTGACTCCTGCTCACAAGGTAAACTTCTCTTCCATGAGCTTTGACACTCTCCTCAAATAATGTTGGTGAAGAGCCACTTGATTTTTATTCAAGTTGACTTAAGTATTTTTCTTCTTATTTCCTCCAGCTAAGGAAGCCGATGGTGGAGAAATTACGTAGGGACCGCATCAACACCAGCATTGAGCAGCTGAAATCGCTTCTGGGTCCTGAGTTTCTCAGACAGCAGCCGGACTCAAAGCAGGAGAAGGCTGACATCTTGGAGATGGCCGTGTCGTATCTGAGAAGCTGGCAGCAGCAGAAGCTCCAGTTACAGCAGCAGCAGAGCCTCCTGACTTCTGGCCCCCTGACAGCCTGGGATGGCTACTCCCGCTGCGTCCAGGAGGCCGTCAGCTTCTTGTCCCGCTGTGAGGTCCAGACTCAGGCCCATAGGCTGCTCCTCAGCCACTTCCAGGGGCTTCAGGCTCCCAACAGGAACAGTCTCAGCCCTTGCAGCCCCTCTCCTCCTGGCTCTCCTCTTCATCAGGTCAGCCCCAGTAAGGGTCTGAGCCCAACCAGCAGCACTCTATGGAGACCCTGGTAAAATAGAGATCTTCAAACAGAGAGAGACCTAAGTCTGTGAACGTCATGGACAGACAGTAAAGACTCCTTGGAGTTTCCTATCCTTCATCATGGCACCAGTTTGGCTCTGTGAGATGAAACTGTGCCAATATTCCTGTGGGAAGGACTGAAAACATTCAGGTTTTACTGAATACTGACACCATGTGTGTTAATATTGCAAATCTGTTTAAAATACTCTGTGTTACTGTATCTGTTCCTGCAGGGAATGTTAACAGCAAACATTGCTTTATTAGTTGAACCATATTGGTTTTAAACTATTTTAATGTCTGGGACATTTATGTGAATGGTGTGTGAATTGATAATATCAATGACATATTTTTCATCAGCCTGCAGCCGATGAAGTAAAAAAAAAAAAAGCGATAAAATGATCCGGTGGATCCATGTTTACTGTAATCCCTTTGGGATTATAAGCCTTATTTGTAACCATTATTTGGTTTTTATTTGAACGAGTGTTACTGGAAGTTATATTTCCTGTCTACTTATGATCTCCATGATAGATGTTTTTCATCTGCTACCTGATTCCTTTTATAAAGGTATTTCACTCCAGCTTCAGACTTTACTGAAAGAAATGCTTGTATTGCTTCCTTGAGAAGTTTGCATTTACGTTTGTAATAAATAAACTTCTGATGAAGTTTTAAACCCAATAACATCTGTGTTTCTCTTTTAATTACTATGCCATGCAGCCTTTCTCAGTCTCTTTATTAAGATATCAGATTCATGGGGAGAAGGTTTCATGGGATAAAGAAATATATGCAGCTGCAACACAAACAGCAGGAGGGTAATTTATTAACCTTAAAAGCTTACAGAAAAAGTGAGAAAGGCGGAAGAAAACAATGTGAAGAGCATGCAGCAGTGGATAAAAGTTTTAAGCTTTATGACATGTGAGCACATATTGTAAATAGATAGCCTTGTATGAATCTATCAAGGGGTTTATTCCAGTTACTAAATTACAAAGACCTTCTTAGATTATACAGACAATCAGCAGGTCAAAAACTAAATCTAATTTCTAAATGAGTCACTAAGAGCATTATCAAAGGGATTTCCTGCTGTTTGAAATTTTGATAAAGTTTGAAATTTTTATTTTAAACTGAATGTCTAAGCAGACAGCTATAAAAAATGCATAAAAGTAAAACACAAAACAGATATTATTAGTTCATTTATATAAAGAAAATGTTCTTAACAGTGATCCACCATTTAAAGAGTCTGAACTAGCAAGGGGTTTTTAGCTATCCGGTGGTTCTGGTTCTGATATTCAACAAGTTCAGCTAAAGGGTGAGAGCGTTTTCCCCTGAAAGGACCCTGATCAGCCATGATGCTAAAGATGCACATGACAACTATCTAAACACAGACCTGGCTGCAGAAACAAATTAAAGGGGGTCATTAAATTTTTTGGAGGGGGGCACTTTTTCTGCAAACATTTGATTTACTTCCGGCTTAACATTGGCATTGTGAATGTTCAATCAGCAAAAGAAATCTCAAATCTCTTTAAAAAGATTTATTAAAATGATTTTAAAATCTTTCAAGAATAATTTGCTGAATTAGAATTCAGTGTTTGTTTAATTCTTAGTGTTACTTGAAAAAATGTGTCCTGACAACCACAGCTGTGAAATGTAAAGATGCTGAAAGGGAAGTCTGCTTGTTTCTGGTTCTCCAGAGATTCTTTTTAAAACCAGCTCTAGGCTAACAGTTGAAACTCCACTGGTTCATTATTCCAGCAATAAGCCCCCACTCGCTGTGGTAACCTAGGCAATGTAATGATGAGTTTTCCCTCATGTGCTGAAACATCATGGTGTTTACCCTCCTGCTACCTTTTGGATAATTTAATTGTTTTTTATCAGGAAAATCCTAATATGAGTTACAAAAAGGTCTGTTCTTCCTTATATAGAATAAATCAACTGTGGATGTATTTAGAATAAAAGAAGATATTAGTGATATTTATTATTTTAATAACGATAAACGGGAGCCATGTTTGGAGGCTTTGGTCCTCAATGCAGCTGTCACCAGTTTACATCCTGGCCTTGTTACCTATGCCCTTTTCTGCTGTCCCATTTTCTGTGTGCCAACTTTCAAAAATAAAAGCTGCTAGAGCCTAGGAAGTAATCTTTTAAAAATGTGCAGCTTTTTTCAGATTGCTCCCTACTTTCAGGTATAGATATTTATAGATTATCTGCTCCCTTGTTTCAGGCATTTTATTGTCTGTTTTTCCTGTACTACAAAAGTCTCAAAGTTCTACAACTAAAAGAAAGAAAAAATGTTTGACATCGAGCGTGTCAATAAATATTATTAAGAAAAAAGGACATAAACCTCTTAATTAGCAAAAGGTACTTAACCTAACTTGGTAGTCTTTGGTAGTGGGAGGAAGCCAAAAAACCACAGCATGCAGGAAGATCCTCCCTGGAATTCAGACCAAAGGTCTTCTGCTGCCTTGCATCACTGCTAACTGGGCCACCGGTAACTTAGAGCCTGATAGATGGTGAGTGGTGGGATCACAGCTTCACTCTCTGTTGTTTCATTAAAGGGACCACCTTTAAAAGTCAGCGATGTTAGGATCATGAGAAAACTTCCACTCAGTGATGTGAGGAACCTATTCAGGATGATGACTTTCCCATATTTTCTCTAAAAGCTTAACGATCCTCTAATATTAAATGCAGCACTTAAAGAATCAATTCAAACATGTTAAAAAACCCATAACTGAATCAGTCCATTTGATTCTTTAAAGCAAAGTGTAGAAGCCAATTATTTTTTGTTAATAATTAACAACGTTTTTTGTTTTTGTGCATAATCTAGCTAAGTTTATTTTACTTTATTGTTTGAATATCTGTTATGAGATTATGTTTTTTGGTTATTTAGTCATGTTCCTTTGTTTTTGGTTAGTTATGATTAATTTGGGTCAATTATTTTTATAAATAGGCAGTCAATGGTAGTACCAGCATGCATCTGGGTGGGTGTATGGTTTATTACCACTGCAAGAGAAACATGGAGGAAATGTGTGTTTTTTCCTGTTTGCTTGTCTGAGGAAAAAATAAACGGAGAAAACTAAAGGAGTTTACCTGGAAAATTTTTTTCTTTTGCCTGCATAAAATCAGTCCTCGGTGCATCTGTGGCCTTTTTTTGTCTCATCAAAGCTGGGCCACAATACATGGATTCATTTAAAAGTGGGACATGATCGTTATGAAGCCAACTAACCTTTATTTTAATTAAGCTGAGCGCCCTGGGCACTAGGTGCTGTTTATCTGCGCTGCCATGATCAGGTACCTGGGCAGCTCCAAAAAAACTAATTTTAATCACTATAAATGTATCCAATCAAATTTGATCCATTAAAAATAAACATTTAGAAAAATAACACTGTTCTGCATCACTAAATGTCACATCTAAAGTACTTCTCACAGAGATTCTTAACATCCTATTTTGTACAGCTTTGTTTCGGAACAGGTGATTTTAAAAAACTGAGAAATAGAGACGCCCCTGCAGGTCAAACGCTCCACTTTCCTCTCCTGCAGTGGTTGAAGGATGACGTTGAAATATGTCTCAAGTGCTCCTTAAGTCTTTCAAAACTTTTTTTTTTTTTCTGTGTCCAGAAGTTGTGGAGAATGGGGCATGCCTGCCTGAGACTTTCTCAGGGTCTAGTATGCCAGGCCAGATGGTCTGGCTGAAGCCGCCCCCTCCCCTTCTTCCCCTTCAACAGGAGATCAAACACCGTAGCTAATGTGATGTGTAACAAGACACACTTCTATTGTCCCCCATCTCAGGGCCTGTGAATAGGCGCAGAGTGTGGGAAACGAGAGATACCACACTCACAGAGAGATGGCTGATGGGTAGCAGCCCCGCGCCGCCGCAGGTCTCAGTGATGGACGGGATTTTATGGCAGGAATTCAGAGCTCTCAGGCTGCTGGTGGGAGGGGAACCCATCTTCCCACACACTTGTAGACAAAGAGCTCCAGCAACAGTGTGCTGCTCACAAACCTTTGTGGGAAGGGCTGATTTTACACAGACACGTCAGGTATGACAACAACAGACAGTCGCCCTATTTTTATATGATGAATATTTAACAAACGTGAAGGGGAGAGGAGAAAAAAAAAGCAGCCTGGGAATTTTTCATAGACTTTTGTTTCAATAACAAACACACTCCCACTGAAAGTCTAAGCGCCAACATTCCCCCACATCACAAACCTTTAAGAGATTTTCATGCTAATCTGAACTACTTATCATTCAATGCAGCCAAACCTACTCAGAAATCATGTTATGGGTAAACAGAGCACACCTGTGTTTTAAATTCACCTAAGGATCCATCCAGCTGTGATGCAGCAAACATCTCACAGGGGTCAGGGAGAAAGCTGTGAAGAAGTTAAAACCAAAATCCCAAAGTATTACAAAAATAAAAAGTCATGGATGACCATCTAAACAGACATGGAGGGTAAACATAGAATAAAAATAGCCTTCATTGTCCCTAATCTCTCTGGCAAAAGCCCAGCTTGCAACAAAAATAAGAATAAGCAACTCTACACAAGAAGAAACCTACTGTATATCTATTGAAAAAAATGCAGCAGGTATATTTGTTTAGGTAATATTAATGAGAGAAGCATAAGATGTTAAATTTCTGTAGAGGAGCAGCAGAGATATACAGCTTGAATTAGAGAATCTGTTTTTGGGACAACCATTAGTGAAATATTCCACAAATCTGTCATTTATGGAAGAGTGACAAGAAGAAAGACACAATAAACCTATGGACAAGTGTTCCTAAAACTGGTGAAAATGTAACACAACACCACCCTGAACAAAGTGAGACATTAGCAGCAACATAATTCGAGGAAATCTCTTTAGCAGGAAAAGGTTTGGAGCTGAGGAGGAAATGGAAAGAGCTAAATACAAGGCTAACTTTAAGAAAAACCCTTTCATTAAAGGCTTTAAATGACTGGACACTGGAGCTGAGGTTAAGCTGTCAGTGATGCAGCCACAGCTGCAACAGAATGGCTTAGATTACAGCGCATGTGTGTTAGCATGGCCTAGTCAAAGTTAAAATGTCCAATTAGGATACTTTGATAAGGTTTTGAAAATTATTTAAACAAGTTAGGTCTTTTTTTTTTTGTAGCAACAAGTTAGCTGTACAGACTGCTTACTCTTTCCGTAAAAATTCAAAAAGAATATCCACTGGACTTGGTTTCCAAGATTTGAAGACGTTTCGCCACCTCTCCAGGAAGCTTTCTCAATTCAAAATCTGCTGGCTCATACAAACATAGCCTTGCTTCACTGCGCTGTCATCTCCCCATCTGTGAGTCTCTTTGGATAGAAGATTTTACCAAATGCATAAATTTCAGAACGATAACCACTGAGTTTGTGTTGGTTTGTCACAATAAAACCCCATAAAATAGAACGAATTTGCCATTATAACGTTGTGACAAAAGCATTAAACTTGGAGAGATATGAATACTTTTGTGTAATTGACTTATATGAGCAGACCTTCATGCAGAAACAATGTAATAATTCAGATTTTGCAAATATAAATGCTTCTTAGGTATCTAAATTGTCAGCGGCTACAGGCGGTGGCTGATGACACTGAACCACACAGGCTGCACTATGTCAGAAGCCAGTGGACTTGATTTTTCCCAGATGGACCCAGACACAGTGTTTCTGTTTGTTCCACCACAGAGAGTCAATTAACATTCCTAGTGGATCATCATGGAGCTGCACACATTCCTCCTGATGTTGGGAAAACTGAAAAGATGGGAATGCTCACACAAGGCCAGCTACACATCTGGGGCCATCCAGTGATGCAGGCCCTGCAGTGGGTTGGGGGGATGCAGTTGGGGACACAGCCGCCCCACTCGTCTTGAGACTGAGGACACTAATTTGACACCGGGTCAGCAGACCCTCAGGCAAAATCAGAGAGGAACTTGTAATAGCAGCTTTCCTCTGTGACCGCATCGTAATCCACATGGGAACACCAATAATTGAAGACTGAGTGCAGCACTTTGAGGTAAATAGATACTCTGGAAATGAACAGGGATGAGCGATTAGTTACACATTATCTATATCCAACAGATCAGACTCTAAAGGAAAAACCCAAACCCCTTTTTTTTTTTTTTTTTTTTTTACAAAGATGCTTTGCTTCTATTAATGCATTAAAAAAAATCCATATCTATCATGACAAATTCTCAGATGACCCCTTGATACACTTTTAATTACCTGTTGCTTATCTTGGGAACCACACCAGGCACAGATACGTTCTCCCTGATTTATTGACGCGTCCTCCATTGTTGAGCTGGGAGTCCCACTGGTCGGAGTGTGGGAACCCCTGCCCGGCCTGAGCCACATGGCTTTGTTATGTTAATGAGGCAGTATAAAAGCTGGAGCAGCTCCTCCAGAGACATTAGAGCTAAGAGAGTTGCCTGCGAGAAGCGTCTCAGTTTACTAGCACAGACATGTCCCCCTGCCCCAACAGCTACTCCTCTGTTCATCAGCTGAGGATGTCTGAGAGAGACAACATCAAAGTGAGTATAAACATATTTTTTGGGATTCTGAAAGCACATAGAGTGGGAAAGTAGGTTACTTATCTTTCTGCTGTTTCTTCCTTAGTTAAGAAAGCCTATAGTGGAGAAAATGCGCAGGGACCGTATCAACACCTGCATCGAGCAGCTCAAAGTCATCCTGGAGAAGGAGTTCCACAAGCAGGAGCCCAACTCCAAGCTGGAGAAAGCCGACATCCTGGAGATGACAGTGAGCTTCCTGAAGCAGCAGCTGCAGTCGGGCTTCTGTCAGGGCGACTTCAGCCAGAGTTACCCTCACTGCCTGAGGGACTCTGTGCATTTGCTATCTGTTGGATCAGCCACAGAGGCCTCTGCTGGACCTCAGCCGATCCTTCAGCATCAAGACTCTACTGCCCATCAGACACAGAGAGCCAGCAGCTGCTTCCCGCTCAGACCCAGCACACAGCTGGACAGCAGCAGCAGCAGAGGCTCTGTGTGGAGGCCATGGTAGAGACTCCACTCTTTGACACCTGAGGGGGAATCATTCTCTCCCTCAATATGTAGGAAATATATTTCCATCCTGCTCATTCAGTGTGGGTTCACCTATTGTCTCATCACATTGATGGACAAGTAAAAGCCATGCGCTCCATGTTATGAAATCATTTGTTTTTCTCTGTGTTAAAATCTGAGGATTTCAGTGATGATAGTTTTTTTGTCAAATGATGTGAACGTTTACTCCGGTGGAGTTTATCTTGGGTCTGCTTTATGTGACAGTATATGTTTCTGACAGCCTTGGTTGAGAATATTTCTCTTCTGTTTTAACTATATTATGCCAATCTTTTATGTCTGAGCCTATTTTCTACATGCTTCTGCACACAAATGGATGTATCTAATGATGTATGATTTGCATGTTGGTGTTTATGTTTTCCTTCAGGTTTCAGGCTTTTTTTGTTAATTTTTCTAAAGCTTGTATGACAATTAATAATAAAGAATGCAATCACTTCAAAAAGAGTATTTTCTATCTGAGTTGAGAGTCTTTGAATCATAAAGTAACACACATTATGCAATATTTACAAAAAACATACATAAACACTGTACTTAGAAGGTATTTAAAAATCCCAATATGTTCGTTAAATGGTTCTATTTCATCCTACTTTTTGCTTTACCCTGCTTTATTTTACAGGTGCTTCACATAAGAGGGGGCCTGTTATGCATAAATAATACAGTAACCTTACAGGGTTTATTTAAAAGCACTCATACTTCTCAGATGTTTTGTTTACAATATTTTTGTCTCAACTTCCAACTTTAGTACCTTGTTGGGATTTTATGTGATACACCAACATTAAACAGATGTATGTTAGGGGGTTTGGTTTTCCTTACTAATATCATTTTTTTCAAGTTGCCTACAGCCTCCATCAGATTTAATAACAGGGCTGTTTTGTTGCTACAGAGAAAAAAAGGTTCCCACAGCATGATGCCGCCACCACTGGATTTTAGGGTAGGGATGATATATTCAGGAGTTAGATTTCTGCCACAGGTAGAAAACTAAAAAGCTCCATTTTAGTTCACTAGGGCATGAATAACTTGTTTCTCATTTCAATGCTTCTAATGCTCCTTCTAGTTTTCTTCTTTTTTGCCACCTTTCTGTAAAGGTTAGATTTATGGAGTGAATTAAATCTTAGTCGTTCCTTCTAGTTCACTCGCCTGAGCTGTGGATCTAAATTGCACCTCCAGAGGTTTGCTAGTTGCTTATTTGCTGCTTTTCTCACAAATGATCACCTTACTTTACCTGCACAAAGTTTGCACTTGTGGTATTATTCTTTTTGTATTTTGAAATAATGGATTAAAATTATGCTCAATAATCTCCATGAAATGCTTAAAATGCCTTCATATGATTTCATTTCTAAAATCTTTAAATTGTAGCCAAGACATTTTGCAGCAATAATTTGTCCCTCATATCCAACAAAGCATAATTGCTTTTATTACATTTCCATAAATCTATGTTAAAGAAAATAATTGCCATATCAGTTCTTTACAAATATTAATAGCCTCCACAATACCTCCAATTTAGATACAACTAAAACATTCCTGTCTCTACTCAACTGTATAAAGTTTCTATGAACATTAGAATAGTGCTGAACAGCTGCCTGCTTTCCTCTGGTACACGGTGAAACAGTGAAACCACAATTATCTTGTAACCATTTACAGGGTTTTATGGGAGATTAGGAAAAAAAAACTTCAGAACTCCATTTTGGAGAAGTCCAGTAAAGTTGAATCTTTCCAAACTCATGCCTACTGTTAAGTATGATGGAGGACCAGTGGTGATGTGGGCCTGCTGCTCTTCCTAACTTTATGTGAGAGTGTTTTTAGAGTGAATGACATAAATCTCTGAAGCACCAGAGCATCATTACAGACATGGTTCCCCAAGACACAAGCTAATGTTCTTCTGTCTCTACAGCTAACTCCTAAAGCAAACTGAAGCAGAAGGTTTTCTGCATTGTCATGGGATTGGATTATGTCACAGCGGTACATGTAAAATCATTCCTAGTATTTTTTTTAACACTGTTACTATTGCTGCAAATAAAAGAGGCAAGCTGTGTTCTGATTTAAAAATAAAAGCAGAAATTAAAAAAAAAATATTCCACAAAAAAGTGATGTTTTCTGGCATATTTTAAAAAGACCTACAGTTAAAAGCTTGATACCAACTCAATGGATAACAATGAAACACACAAACATATAAAGCAGACCAACGTCACAGCAATCAGTCTCTCTATATTACATCTAATCATTTATTTCTTTATTTGAACAATAACTGCCTATTTATTCAACATGAACCAATGAATAAGTGACTTGGTGATTCCAAACCTTTGACATTGCTATTAGCAATCACAAACTATATGCAAAACAGTCCTTCTTAACAACAAAAGTAAAGTCTTTAAAAAAAAAATTGGACAAGAGAATCTACAGATTAGATAATCTATTATGAGTCTTTTACAGAAGAAGAATTTGTGTCCTGTTGAATGACCTGAGTAAGGTGCAATCATTCCAAGTGTTCATAAAGAAACTAATAAGATGAAATTAGTTAAATTAAGCGAAATTAAGATATTCTTAAGCCCAGAATGTGATTCGTTTGAAGTATATTCTCTCTCATAATCTGAAGTCTGTGTGACTCTGCTGACCTATTTCCCTTATCTACCTTTGCAGAGATAAAACAGCTGTAAGTGAAAAAGAATCAGACGATTAGGAATATGAAATGATTTTCATGTATCTGTGGTAAAATACTCTCTATAATGATAACAAAATTGTCTTTACCGGTAATAAGTTTTAAAAGTCTAACAATGATTGCTAAAACATAATGCAATGTGTGAAAGCAACTCTGCAGTAAAGTCACCAACCTTTTAACAAAAGATCTGGGGATACCAATAAAATGTCTACGATAAACAAACTTGGGCTTAAATAAATCCGAAAGAATCATTTTTGCAAAGCTGATGTTCACTTTCTCTGACATCCTGGTGTGTTGGACAGAGAACTGCTGTGAGGTGCATATCTAGGCTTTATAACATCTGACCTTGTGTCCCTGGAGGACCTGTTCCTCATTTACTGTATATTACCATAACAAAGCCACGTGGTGCTTTGGAAAAGCTTTGGCTTGAAACACCAGAAATCCCAAATCAAGGTGACCAGCAGAGATAAAACCATTCCAATTAAATGAATCAGAGCGATAGTGATAAGCATTCCATCTCTCATCAGGAACTGCTGCTTATCTGACTCTCAGCAGCCACCCAGAGGAATAGAGACCACCTCGTCTCTTCATAGGTGTCTGGGGAATAAGTAAAGAGAGCTTAATAGATCAGTGTCATCCAGTGAGAAGCTGTTAAAAGAAAGATTAAAATCACTGATTTGTTGCTGCTATAAATTATTTTTTTCTTAAATAAATCCATAGATAAAATATTTTTTTTATATTTCTATGATAACTTAATGCAGAAGAAATTTACTTTGATTAGAAGATTTTTTATTTTTATTTAAAATTAATGTTTTTTTTTCTGTGGATATAAACATTTAGATACATGAGTTTGAAGAAGAATCAAAATTTACTGTATTTACGGTGGTCTTTTTTGTTTTGTTCCTTTCTTCAGTTATAGAAGCAGAATCAAATGTGAATAAGACTTCTGAACTCCAGCCGTTGCTTTGGCCTTTATGCGCTGCCACAATAAAACTCCTGCTTGTTCAGCCGTGGCACACTTCGATTGTTGACGGAGGGTCTTTGGCTGCGAGTGGACAGACAGACTGTGGGAAAGCTGAGCCCGGACTCTACTCACACATCTACTGGTCAATAGTGCTGACCTCCTGGTTACAAAGGGTCCTTTCATCTCTCTCTCCTCACAAACAGCAGCCAACAGCGCACACACACACTCACCCACACACACGTCCAGAGGTAGATTTAGCATGTATTTTAAATCATGAGTGACGCCATGCTGCAGTTTAAAGACTTCGCTTTTGGAACCAGCTTGCACTCATAATTGGAACATGGAAAACATCCCTTTTCTTGTCAAAGCTGCCAAAAAGGAAGGACTTTCCGAACTGTGTGGAGTTTTTAAAACGTATAACAGTTGTATTCATACTCCTTGGATCTTTGTCAAATTTGTAACATTTGTAAGGTCTTATCACACCTTGCGCACTGCAACAACAAACTACAATTTTTAATGCAATTTGATGTGTTAGATCACCAAAGAGTAGTACATTATTGTGAGCTGGAAGGAAAACGGATACATGTTTATAATATTTTTTATTGTTTTACTTTGTATATTGTTTTATCACTAAATAAAGTGTAGAGAAACCAACTTTCCTCAGAACTCAGCAAACTGAAAATTGATCATCAGCATCATCAGCAGGTGAACATTAGTAAATATGCAAAACTAGGATCACATCAGACTAGGTAAATAAAACTAACAGTCTCTGCAGTCAAGAATATGCACTGCTGTTCTGCAACATCAAACTCATGCCATGCACCTGTTTCCCCTGCAGTTAAATACAGCTCCTTGGCAGACAGACAGTGCCAGATTATTTGAAAGCCTCTGTGTGAGTAGATATGTCCTTCCTTCCTTCCTTCCTTCCTTCCTTCCTTCCTTCCTTCCTTCCTTCCTTCCTTCCTTCCTTCCTCTGAAACATCTGTTAAAATCACTCATCAGTAGGTGGATGTGGAGAAAATATCTTTCCTTCAAAGCAGACAGAATGAAAGGATCAGCAAATCCAAGATATTCCGATTTCTTCCCGTTTATGTTCTCAAATAAGACAAAAAAAAAAATTCCACCATATTTAACTTTACTGATCTCATCTCAGCACGTTCTCTTTCTCATTATGTTTCTCTACTGAGGATTATTTTTTACACGTGGCAACAGAAAAAGAAAATAGAAAAATGACTATTTGTTCTATATTCTATTTGTTCTATATAACCTGTGGTTTTTAAAGGATTCTACTCAAAAGAACACAAAATAATGAAAGAACAGTATCTATGGTATGAATTTACCAACTGATAAAAAAGGGTTAGGGGTCCTAAGAGCCATTTGTGGCTCCAGAACCGCAGGTTGCAGATTCCTTGTCTGGCAAATCACATCAAAATAAAACAGGTAGGAATTCCTGGCTATAATGTTACATTTAAAACAAAATTAAGTAGTTTTTGATGCTTAAAACCTTCATTTTTTGGCCATGGTATACATCTGAATGCAGTTCTGGAAATGTGCAGTGGTATTCATGTGTGGCCTCAGAACGATAATGTACATTTTGGGAAGGAAGTATCCAGCCAGGAAGGCCAGGACACTGAAGAGCGTGGCAAACACCTGGGCAGCCATGGTGAAGGTTTCTCTGTTGATGAGGTAGAGGGTAAAAAAGCTTATCCAGGAGATCATGTACACCATCAGGCTGAAGGTGACACACTTTGCCTCATTGTAGTTGGCTGGAAGGTCCTTCCCCATGTAACTGAAAGCAAAGCAGAGGACACTGAGGAGAGAGACATAGGCCAGCTCAATGCCTGAGCCGATTGAGAGGGTTTTACTGCATTCCTTCACAATTTTATCATGGTAGAACTGGAGGTCCTGTGAAGGCTGCGGAGTGTCCAGGGATACCCGGAGCACAGAGATGAACAACATAGTGACAGATACCAGGAAGATGGTGACCTCTGGACCCCGTTTTTTCATCCATTTGTCATAAGCCGGCGGAAGCTTGGAAGAAAATTTAAAGATGCAAACAACCTGGAGGGATCGAACCGTGATGCAGGCCAAACACACAGCGAAGCTGATGGTGAACAGAGGCTGCTTTAGGATGCAGGCCAGAGGGGATGGCCGGCCAAAATGGCACAAAGTGCTGAGGGCGGCGACGGTGAGGGCTGCCAGCATCAGGAGGCAGGTGCGGCCCCCCGCAGACTTGGCCACTGGCGTGTTGAGGTTGACCAAATGGATTATGGCGGTGCTGAAGGTCAGAAGGAGGCAGGTGGCCAGAAAGAAGAGGAGAGCTATGGAGAGAGGGTGGTCCCACTCCAGCAGTATCACAGTCCTGTTGAGACACTCCTCACTGGATGGAGGAGCCCACTGCTCCGGCAGGCAGGCCTGACATTCTGTTGGCTCTGAAAGAATAAGAAAAAACAAACAAAGAAAAGAATAAAACTGAGCGAGAAATGTTGTAGTTTAGTCACACAGGCACATACTAACTATTATCATTGCCTTCATTTTTTTAATCAGTTTTTTGAGTGACCTCCCATGAGTAGAATTTTCCTTAAACAGATCTCTACTGTCAGAATATGGCGTTTGAATTGACTTGCGCCATCTATTGGTCTTAAACACACAATACAATTACTAATTTACAGTAACTTTCAGCTTTTAGGCTGTAGTTAAAGTACAAATAATTAATTGGGGTCAACATTGCTTGAGTTGCTAACTTTTGCCTCATCTTTAATGTTTTTACTCTTGCAGAAATGTGGTTCACTAATAGAACCATCTTGATTATTTGTAAATGTTTGTTACAATTATTTTACGTTCTTAACCGTTTTTAGAAAGAAAAAAAACAAAAAAAGGGAAAAACAAAACATATATCTAGTGATGTCAAGTCATTTTTACATGTAATTTTTCTCTGTCAAAAAAAATTAACCGCAATATTCTATATTTCTTTAACATATTTGTTATTTTTTTGTTATAGTTTGAAAAAGGAAAAATATGTGGTTTATTTAAGTGAAGCATAAACTGTAACTGCTGGCTGTTAGACGAGAAAACTCATTTATGACTGGCTACAATTTTTGCCAAATGGGTAGAAGTCATACAGGAAGTTCTCAAGGCAGAAAGGTTCAGATCTTGTCCAATTACACAGAAATATGAATTAATTCAAATCCTTTTTTCCTATGAAATGCAATGGTAGATTTAGGTTATTTATATTTGATGTAATATTATCACTATTATGATATAATTAATTCATTTTGATGTAATTTTGTTATCATAGTCTGTCTGAAAGGATCTTGTACATTAAGTTATCAAATTTGCAACAACCCCTCATCTTGATATCCCTCATCAAAAGTACTAGATCACTGATGTTTGGCCAAGTCATCATACATGCAAAGCAAAGACTTTGATAAATACATTTGCAAGTAAAGTCCAAATAAATAATACTGAAACCGAAAAAATTTAATATTCTTTGTCATATTAGTAACTAAATTGGCTTTAAATTCTGTTTTCTCTAGCATGCATCTACATCAAGTATAATTTTATATTATTCTCTATTAAATGTAAAATAAATTACAGGCCAACTGATGCCACTGGGTCCTTTTCTATTCATTATATTTAATAAGACTGCAAACAGCATTATACAGCAGAATATTATACCATATTCAGTGCAAGTTTTCTGCTTTATTTAACCTGCAAACATCCCATCTAAGGTTTTGTATATTGTTTTAGTGCTATGAGCCTATTAATCGACTATTTACTGCTTTTATTGAGGAATGTGGCTGAGGGGCAGGGCTGGCAGTCAAAGCAGCAAGGATGTTGACCCGTCTGCAGTTTCTTGTGGCCTGTTGGGCAAGGTGGAGAGCAGAGGGACTTAGGTACCTCCTGCAGGGTTTGAAAGAAAAGAGAATAAAACAAAACACAGCAGGTAATAATTAATATGGTTAAGAAATGTAAATGAAAAGAGATAGAACTAAATGCATAAAGGATGCGGAAAGAAACTGCTACTTAGGTCAAATCTAAAGGTTTAACTTATAAAACATGCATTTTCTTTTAAAAAATGTGATTCTTTTCGGAAGAACAAAGAAGGTGAGAAGGTACTAGGAAGTACAGTTAATTTAGTATTGCTAATGATGCCATTACAACAAGGTGTCATCATAACTAAATGATTAAGATTTTAACAAAAAAAGATGAAACAGAACTGGCCATACTGATTCCGAGTCTCCCTTGCTGTGCCACTCAATCAGATCAGCATCTATTGTGAGGGTGATGGGATCCGGCGAGAAGGAGCCCACCACTCTGAGAGACCACTCCGTGCCCCTCCAAACCCAGGAGATGATATCATACCCAGTGGGTGGGTCACCGTTCACGTCAAAGTACACAGAAGAGTTGCTGAGAGAAAACCGAACCTTTCTGAGCAGTGGCAGAAGCTGGAAAGAAGGAAAAAGATATTGTTTACTAGCTGATGAAGAAATCTCTATTAAAGAAGTGCTTGCTGAGGCATACCTCTGGTGGAGTCACACTTCTCTTGCTGCACTCTCCAGAGTCACAATCAAGCGCCTGATGCAGAGCCTTAGCTAAAGCATACACTGCCTTATAGACGTTGAAGGAGGAGGTGATGTCGTATTTATCCATGGAGAAGTTGTTCTTGGCGATGGAGTACAGGTCTCTGCTCTGCAGACAGCTGTTATCACTGCTAATGCTTACATTGGTGTCATCCTGGGCGTGCTGCATTGAAGCATCAACCATATTCTTCTGGAAAAGGTCAAACCCAGAAATGGAAGCATCTTTGACAGAGATGCCGATCACAGTCCCGATGCTCTGGATCCCAGGAATCCCAGATATTAGAGTGGAAGGTGACCAGTCCTCCGTCCCGATCCACACCTTTCCTGTTATATTTCTCTCCAGGACATACGGGAGGAAGCCATGGAACCTTGTCTTGCTTGAAAACACCACAATGGTGTTCACTTTGGTTTTCAGTATATTGTCCACCATGTTCCTCATGATCTGAACTGTGTTGTCAGAAGCAGTGGGGATGACTCCTTGGTATGGGATGCAGATCCCATACTGAGAGGCTTGCTCTGACAGGCTCTGCATACCCTGCAGGCCGTAATCATTGTCGCTGCCTAAAAGAGCTATCCACCTCCAGTTGAAACGAACCAGCAGTTGGATCATAGCTGCCACCTGGTTCTTATCGCTTGGAATTGTGCGGAAGAACGCTGGATACATGTTCTTGTTGCTCAGCATTTCATTTGATGCTTCATATGAAATCTACAGTAGGCAATCAGGATGTGAGAAATTATTTTACATCATTTTAAGTAGGGACATGTGTCAAAACTTCATATCATTAAACATCTTAACTATACTAAGATAACCAGAGAACATACAAAATGTTATGATCTTACTTTCTGGACCTTTTGTTTCTGTTGAGTTTTTACTGTTTTGGTTCTCAAGTATGCTTTGTTTTGTTCTATGTTGTCTAGATCTAAATAGTTTTTGCATTTAGTTTTGCTCTAATTTCAGTTAGTTATTTATTCTTGGGTCATGTTTTCCATAGCCTTGGTTATTTTCAGTCCCTCCTCTTCTCTTGCAGTTTTCCCCTTGGTCATTCCCTATTTTGTAGTCATTAGTTTTATTCCCCTTTAGCCTTATTTAAGTTCTTTCTAGTTACCTTTAGCTCCTGTTTCCCCTGGTTATTCTTTGCTGCCCCCTAGTGTCCTTTCCTTTACAATTAACTCCCTCTATTTACAGGTCCTTCTCAAAATATTAGAATAAAATTAGCATATTTAATCCAACCAATGAAAGAAAAGTGTTCTTAATACAAAAAAGTAAACCTTCAAATAATTATGTACAGTCATGCACTCAATACTTGGTCAGGAACCCTTTTGCAGAAATGACTGCTTCAATGCGGCGTGGCATGGAGGCAATCAGCCTGTGGCACTGCTGAGGTGTTATGGAGGCCCAGGATGCTACGATAGTGGCCTTTAGCTCATCCACAGTGTTTTCGGTCTTGCGTGTCTCAACTTTCTCTTCACAATATCACAGAGATTCTCTATGGGGTTCAGGTCAGGAGAGTTGGCAGGCCAATTGAGCACAGTGATACAATGGTCAGTAAATCATTTCCCAGTGGTTTTGGCACTGTGAGCAGATGCCAGGTTGTGCTGAAAAATGAAATCTTCATCTCCATAAAGCTTTTAAGCAGATGGAATGAAGTGCTCCAAAATCTCCTGATAGCTGCATTGACCCTTCCCTTGATAAAACACAGTGGACCAACACCAGCAGCTGACATGCCACCCCAGACCATCACTGACTGTGGGTAGTTGACACTGGTCCTGGGAACAGTCTATTCATTCAGAAATATCTCTCTGTCTCATACCCTCTTGCTTGAGGGCGTCAATGATGGCCTTCTGGACAGCAGTCAGGTCGGCAGTCTTACCCATGATTGGGGTTTTGAGTGATGAACCAGGCTGGGAGGTTTAAAGGCCCCACGAATCTTTTGCAGGTGTTTAGAGTTAATTTGTTGAGTCAGATGATCAGGTGCATAGCTCGTTTAGAGACCTTTTTCACGATATGCTAATTTGTGAGATAGGAATTTGGGGCTTTCATGAGCTGTATGTCAAAATGATCCGTATTAAGACAATAAAAGACCTGAAATATTTGAGTTAGTGTGCAATGAATCTAAAATATATTAATGTTCAAGTTTTATCAGTACATTATGGAAAATAAAGAACTTTATCACAATATGCTAATATTTTGAGAAGGACCTGTACTTCTGTCTACACCGAGCTCCCTAACAGCTAATTAGTCCTCCAACAGTTTCTGTCTCCCATATTTAAACCTCCTGTACAGTTACGCATTGCTGGATCCTAGTCATTCCTTTGCACTATTCATCTCTAGTGTCTCCTAATTTTCTGGTCCCTGAGTTTCTGTCCATTGATTCTGGGCTATGGGTTTTGTATTTTTGCTTCTTCATTGAATTTTGCAATAAATCCTCTCCGCCTCTTCAGTTCTGCATTTGGATGCACAAAAAATCCATCAACTTTGACATAAAATACAGTTGACAATGGGAAAAGCTATTCCAAAAAACTGTATTTCAGTAAATCAATCCTGCTGTTAAATCATGAACTAACAGTGATTAACCTATAATTCATGTTGTCAGCATGAAGGCGGCTGACATATTTTCTTGCTTCAGTCTAAAGAGATGTAAAAACAGACATTATTCTAGGGAGGATTTACGAAGCAATTTCTAAGGGTTAGGGGTTTCAGTGAACCCACAGAGTCAAGTCATCAACAAATAAAGAAATATGAGAAATAGGTAAACCTTTTAAAGTTCACTGATCTCTCCAAAATTACTCCTCGAGCACAATGATGACTCCTCCAGGTTATCAAAAACCCAGAACATAAGAAGCTCTATAGAGCTCCCTTGCCTTAGAAAATATCCGTGTTCTTGTTCATGATGATAATAATTACAAAGAAGAGACTTGGGAAAAAAATTATGAATGTGAAAAATCTCTGCTGCCCAAAATAAGCACAGAATCCTTTCTCACATTTACCAAAAAATGTCTTTACAATCTAGAAGACTTCGGGGAAAAATATTATGACAATTATAAAATATTATTACAACATTTAATTAAAATGGGCTTCATCCCAACAGGTATGTTCAGTGGTGAGGCTACAACAGTCAGGGGCTACTTCAGGACTTTCATAATGAACCTGCTATATGTTCTGATGTCCACCACAAATTCTTGATGGAGAATGTCCACCATTTTTATATATAGGTGCAAAAACCAGAAAGCTTGTTTCTGTGCAATAAATGAAATCTGCATAAAAAAAACTATTTTTACTGTTTTAAAAACGTAAAAACAAAATGTTTTAGGATATGAAACATTAAAACAACTAACAGATTAGTAAGTCGAAAAAAAAAAGAGAGATTTTTTTTACAAGAATGGGGGCCTTTGAATTTTGTACGTTTAAGGGAACCAAGCCTCCTACCTGTGGAATCACATAAGCTCCCAGCAGAGCTGCAGGGGTGAAACTCTTGCTGCTGCTATCTGGCCCAATAACACCAACAGCTTTTTGAGTGTTGCTGGAGCTTTGGTACTGTTGCTCCAGCAGGTCCAGCGTGGCCAGGACACTGGCCGGGTTAGAGCAGATGTCGTACATCTGATAACCGAGCTTTACCCCTGGTAGCAGATGCAATGGACCTGTTCCATTGTTGATTTCCTCTACTGCAAATCTCATGGCTTGCAACAAATGAAACCCGTGTTTGTTGATTCTTCCTCTGAAAGGTGTGGAAAAATAACAGTGATAACAAAAACAACTGCATGCAGTAAGGAAAGACTGATATTAATAACACCAGCTTACTGATTACATGGAACCAAAGCAGGAAGACCACCAGCATCTACATCAGTGTAGTGGAGGGGAAAGAGTCCAGCCAAGGAATAATCCCCCTGGATCTGCATCCCTTCTGCCTGAGAGGTGTAATCTAACTGCCCAGCAGCTAATTGCAGCATCAGCCACTCTGAGAAAAGTAACGCAGTAAGCATAATGGAACTTCAGCTCAAATAGATCTGCTGGCAAAGTTCATGTACTCAGGGAAAATAAAGCAGGGCTCGTTAAGAAGGGTCTGCTCAGAAGGGAGAAGTTTCCAATGACAGGGAGGAATACTTTGCATCTTTCAAGGGAATGCTGGTTCAACGAAGCGTATTTGCATGATGAATTTGCTTGTGTGACTGTAGCGTTTCCCCCCATGAAAATGAGCTTCATTAAGGTAAAGTAAAAAAAAGAAAGAATTTGATCCACTTTCACCATATGGAGGAGTCACACCGGCTTTCTTTGACTTTACCGATTGTAGTTTTCGATTTGGGGGGCAACTTATTTGACACATTTAAGGGCAGAAAACAGCTAGAAATGTTAAATCTAAATCTTTATTTTTAAATACTAGTGCTGAAACTAACAATTATATTGAAAATTAATTAGTCCTAGTATTTTTTCGATTAATCAATTAATAATCAGATATCTAAAGGTTCCTTAAAGAAAACTTTTTGACACACGAAAAATACCTTTTTTTTTATCTTAAATGCTAAATCTTTATTTATATTTTTACAATATTCATATATTTATGGCTCTAAGTGGGTCACTCTGGCAGCTAAAGGCATCTTTTAGAGTCTTTATAGTCCAGTTAACGATTAATCAATTACTAAATTAGTTGACGATTATTTCAATAATCAATTAATCATGATTGATCTGATTAATTGTTTCAGCCCTAATAAATACTCTTCTCTCATTCACCACTGGTTACTCTGGGTGGGGTGGCGGCTGTTCAGCTCCAGGTCAGGTCCTCTATTAGATGTCTGGAAGCTTGAAGGTCCTTCTCATCTTTGTTGCAACTGAGCTCCTCTGGACTAAGATCTCTGTGTTTCTTTAGGTATCTTTTGGAGCCCTTCTTATGTGTGTGTGAGGGAAGTATTTTGAAAAATATCCTACATGCAAGGACTTACAGGTACATATGGGGACATTCAACTGGTCCCTATATGGTAGTTCTGTTCTTTGAGTTGGGGTTAGGTGTAGGACTAAGGTGTGAATTCAGTTTAGGTTAGGATTAAGTACATCTTGGTAATAGTTAGGGTTAGGGTAAAAGGGTAGGGGTCTGGATTAGGCCATATAAAATGAATGAAAGTCAATGAAATATCCCCATATGTCACGAAAACAAAGCTGTGTGTGTGTGTGTGTGTGTGTGTGTGTGTGTGTGTGTGTGTGTGTGTGTGTGTGTGTGTGTGTGTGTGTATGTGTGTGTGATACACCATAGATCCACAGGTGGTTTAAACCCAGTATAGGTCATCAGTTCATCACAGGTACAAGGCTGTAAACGCTACTGAACACACACACTCATGTCTAAATGCATTAGAAAAGGAATAATTGACCGTCATGTTATTTGGACTTTGGGAGGAGTGTGATGAAAGCAGAATGCATATATGCCCCAGGTTGTGGTCCTAACCCAGAAAGTTTAGATGTGTTTATTATCAGTGGATACGTATGCTCTGCTCCAATTCAATCTCACAACACGTCATCTCTAAGCACTTTACAGAGACAATTCAACCAAAATAATACAGTCATATTGGTTCAAAGTTTTCTATCTGAGGAAAACCAGCTGTTTGCATCGACTTAAAAACGTTGATACAACACTTTGACGTGACAGACATCTGCCAACTTGAAAACCCATTAAACATCATAGAAAATCTGAGAGTTTTAATGTTTACATTATGTTAAACTGAGAATGTTGTAAATTATTCTTGTTCAGGCAAACACAAACCCTGGCACTTTTTTTTTTTTTGCAATCCTCTAAAAGAGTGTTCCCTTGTGTCTGGGCTACGTTTCTGCCGTCATGTTTCTTAAAATTAAAAAGACAGCATATCCAAACATAATCTTTTTGAGAGGATTTGGGGGCCTTTCATTAATGTTATTAAGGACTTAAACTTGACTGAAGGTTTGTTTAAGTTATAATTTACTGGAACCTGTGGTGTGCCATGTTGTATAGATATGTATATCCATATCTGACCAATTAGTACTTTCTTACATACCCCCGTTTTTGAGAAGCTGTGTGTGTGTTTTTTTTTTTTTTTTTCTCCTAGTTGAGTAAAATAATTGCTGCCATGTCAGAACTTCAAAGAGAACTTGTTCAGATAATAACATGTTCGTATTTTCAAAATGAAAAATCTCAATAAAAATATATTGGTAAAAGAAAAAAAAAAGACACCATATAAAAACTCAATGCAGAAGCTTAGCCCTGTTTGCATTTTGGTTAATATTGCAGCCTCAGATTACTTACACACTTTTTGCATTGGTTTAAAATCTCCCTGATGATTACCTGTGTTCAAATCCAAAACCCATTGTTTTGACTGGGATAGTGTGCTTCTTTTCAGCCACAGTATCGAGGAGGCAAATATTTATGAAAATCAGCTCATCTGTCCAAACACAGTGATATGTGATATCGCTGAAAAGACAAGCAACTGCTTTTCATTCAATCCATGTCAGTTTTAAGTAAAAGCATTAAAATATGTTTTCATTCTATGGAATAACAGATTTTGTTAAATATTTTTTGGAAACCACAAACAAGCTGAAATTATAGGCAACCAGACTTTCACAAAATTTTCCTGAAGACATTTCAGCACCTATCCAACAAAGACTCCTGGATAGGAGACAAAACCTCTTCAGAAAAACTGAGCGAAAACCTCTTTGAGTCCAATTTAAGCCTGATTTGTGGTTTATTCACCTCGTTCAATCTTTGCGTTGGTAAATCAGCTCTAAACCATCTTCTTGCCATTGCTTTTTTAAAAACTCCCAGAAAGACTTCAGGTAAATATCTGTCCTCTCTAATATTGTCAATTGTTTTCTTTTTTCTTTTCTTGAGTACAATCTGTGATTTGAAAAAAAAAAAAAACACACAAAAAACACAACAATCGCCCTGCTACCTAAGAACAAAGCTAAAAAATGTTTACTACTGGTTGTACTCCTGACTTTAGGGGGAATTAAAGTGTAATTTGTTTCTTCAATGTTCTCCCCAAACATTACAGGCTGTTACGTTTTTCAAACATTCAAATATATGGGGCAACAGTAGTGTCGGATGATTGAGTTTGCCCTGCAACCGGATGGTTGTCGGTTCAAGCCCTGGCTAAGGCTTTCAGTGTTGATGTGTCCTTGGGCAAGACACTCCACCAGCATTGCCTACTGATGGTGGTCAGAGGACCCGGTGGTGCCAGTATACAACTGTCAGCAGTGAAGTGCTTTGGTCAAGTCCTCTGACTTGAAAAAAGTGCTGTATAAGTACAGGCCATTTGATTGGCTAAACAGTCAGCTCTTTTTTTTATGTGTAATTGATCTTGGATGTCATTCTCTCTTGAATTCGTTCATATTAACCTATTTTACTTAAAATTGATTGGTGATCCTGAAATGCATCTTTTGTGCACTCTTGCTTAGGAGCTGTTTTGAGGCATGGTATGGAGCTAAACTGGAGCCATAAAGTTTGTTTAAAAAACTGTTGAAAAAAGTTACAAAAATATTCAATCTGAAAATAGAATAAAATAGAATAGAAAATCCTTTTATAGTCCCACAATGGGGAAATTGTGGTGTTACAGTAGCAAAATAAAATCTTTTTCAAAACAATATATTTTTTTTCTCAAACCTGCATGTATTTTTTTTTCAGACCTGCAGAGAGAAAAACTTGAATCTCTTGGTTTTGATTTTTTAACAGTTTTTTCAGGTTAGAATTTTTTTTTGAGCAAAACTTTTTTTTATTTTATTTACAACAAACTTCTTTTTCAGCTTTAATTTTTCTTTCTTTCTTTCTTTTTTTTTTAAACAAATTTTATGGGCCCAATTTAGCACACTTACTGACTGGATATAATTTATTAATAATAAAATTATCTTGCGGGCTTCTACAATTGTGGCCCACAGCCCTGGAGCTTTCCTACATCTACTAGAAGATTTTTCATAAAGATATCAAAATGACATAAAGAAAAAAAAATTTTATGCTGTCTGCTTTTTTATGTTGAAAGATGATCAGAATTAAGTTGAAACTCATGTCACGTTTACAGTCACACTGTTAGCAGGATAACATTTAGGTTTATCCAGTCAAAAACAAATATTAAAAATAAAGTATTATTATCTTATGTGAAATAGTCTACATCAAACAATATGCTGCTTTTTCTATGTTAAAAGTCGTGGTTTGTATCATAACTAAAGGAAAATCCTTTTAATTATTTTATTAAAATGTATATCTGTAGATATTACAGTCATCAGCCTTCAAGTAGATACACGGTTCTGACCAGTGACGTCATTTTTCTGCGACGCACATTTTAGGTTGAAAGTGCAAGCAGCCATTTTTTCCAACCGTTTTTACATGAGTTTATGCGACCAGATCCAGACTGTGAGTTTTAACCCAGTCCTTTGCTGTTGCATATTGAACGAACATATTTAAACAATATTGAAGAGGGATATTTCAGAAAAGCGTGTTTGTTTGACCCCAGGTTGACGCGCAGAGCGGCTCGGTGCTTCACTTAGCTGTTAGCTAACGCTAGCTTCTGCTGTAAACAAACAACTGCATGCAAAGGCACAGTAGGTTCATTCTGCCTGTTTGTCATCATATTTACCTTTCATGTTGGCTTTTTTGGTAAATACAATAACGTCAGAAACGTAGCTTTATGATCAGTAGGTACCAGTAACCTTTTGGATGCCGATTATCTGACACATAAGCCGCGCAACTTCAGTTTTGATGACAGTGCGAGCTCCTCCAAAATAGCTCGGAGCTCATTTGCTTTGGAGCAGGTGGGGGTCAGTTTTTAGTGGAAGCAGGAGCAGAACTGGTCGGTATGTCTTCTTTCTCCGAGTCGGCCTTGGAGAAGAAGCTGTCGGAGCTGAGCAGCTCCCAGCAGAGCGTTCAGACTCTGTCTCTGTGGATCATCCACCACCGCAAACACTCGGCCCTCATCGTCAAAGTGTGGCACCGAGAGCTGAAGAAAGGTGAGACCACATTTCCTGCAAGCAAAAAGAGTTTCTTTTGTCGTTCATTTAAATCTTATAGCACCCTTGCCATTTGAAGTTGAGCATCATTCCGGCTTATGATTTAAACCAATGCGTTGAAAAGTTGTGATCTCCAAGCTTGTTTCTTGTTCAGCAGAGTCTTTGTAAATCAGATTTGTTGAACTTGACCTTATGCAAACCATAAAAAAAGATTCTGCTACTTGTATGCTACTTGATGTCTCTGAAACCCTTTTCACGTTTTGTCAGAACTGCAAACTAAAGTTTAATGTGTTGGTGTTTTAAATTACAAATATGGTGAATTGCATATATAGTTCATGTATTCTACTAGTAAAAGCCTTAAAATTGTACTAGTATTCACTGTAATCAGTCCCCTGTTCCTTCAGTCGGCTCTCCTTGCCCATCCTGGCATTCTTGATGCTTCAGTTGAAAGATTGAATAGTTATCTTGGGATGTTGACAGTTTACGATCTTCTGCTTTAATCTTCTCTGTAATCATCTTAGAGTTTTTTTGTAGTTGATTCCAAAAAGATTCAGTGTCTTAAAACAATTTTTTTGTGTTTCTTAGCTAAAAGCAACAGGAAGCTGACATTTCTGTATCTGGCAAATGATGTCATCCAGAACAGCAAGAAGAAAGGACCAGAGTTCACCAAAGACTTCGAGTCTGTACTTGTGGATGCCTGCTCCCATGTAGCTAGGTATGTTCTAACAAGTCCACAATAAGTTTCTCTTCTTAGTGTGTGGTAAGTTGCTAGAACCAGTTCAGCCATTCCTTTAAAACATATATATATATTTTGGTCATTTATATTCAATACCGTATGTATCTGTGTAATTACATATCTAAACTGACATAAACTTGCATGGATCCAAGATTCCTCCTGTGTGTTTCGTGCTCTGTTGTAGATATTCCTCCCTTTGTAAAATTATGATTTACAAACCTTTTTACACATTTTTATACTGTTATTTCACATGTATTGAAGTCTTCAGTTCAGCTTATAGAAATCTTATGCTTGTTTGTTAAGCTGGCTGTTATTCCCTCTTTGACTTTGATTCAGTTGGCTGTTTTCTTGTGTCTCTGCAGTGAAGTTGATGATGGCTGTAAAAAGCAAATGGAGAGGCTGCTGAACATCTGGAAGGAAAGGAGTCTCTACAGAGGTGATTTTATTCAGCAGCTGAAGCTTGCCATCGAGGATTCCAGCAGCCCCAGACCCTCAGGTTTGATGACTCAGCAGTGACCTTAATGCTCGGCTATGTGTTTTTGTGCTCCTTTGCAAGTCTTACCATACATCCGGAACTTTTTACACCCATTATTTAGACTTTTGTTTTACAAACAATCATTTTAAAACCTGCCTTTATCAATACTTAGGGAATCAGAATTGAAAACTGGTTCCTGTTCAGAACCGGTCCCGTGTGTTGCAATTCCATGTCACCTTTTGGCAGCCCGCTTAATGGTTCTCTTAACAGTTCCAGGCAGCACCACAGCCTAGCTCTGGGCAGCACGACTTCTGTCACGTTTTTTAACGCAAGTTACACAGGCGGCATTCAGTAAGCAAGTACGACGTGACCAGGCGCAAGTCTAAGATAGCAAAACAAAAGAAATGGCGTCCCATCGAGTAAACGGATTGAAAGTTTGGATGTAAATTGGCAATTACATCAGCGGGAAGAAAAACATCCAACATGCAGAAACACCTGCGCACACAAGGTAGCATACATTTTAATGAATGCCATGTTTTTGATGCTTCTGGACAGAAGCTAAAGTTACGACCAGCATGGAAGGCAACTCTGGTGGTAAGTAGCTAGTTTTATATCACTGGCTGTGCTTAATGTGGTTCCTAGTAAATCAGATGCCATTTCTAGAAATAAACCAATTTCCTACCTCTCTTTGGGGTTATTAAACATGCTACAAAGTTGCTCCGCAGTTCAGGAAGTGAGAGAAATGTGACGCTCCTTTATTTAAATTAGGGGGGGATGTGTTTATTTCCCGAAATTGTACAGTTGTGCTTTTTCATTAAACGGATGGCTTCTCCATTAGATTTAGATGACTGTGATGAGAGAGGTAGCCTGGCTGGCTCAGAGGCTGGCAGCTCCCGTTCACTGCCTTCTGTTTTCGCTGAGGCAGGCAGAAATAGAATATCCCAGGCGAAGGTAGACGAATGTCACCGTGCACTTACCAAGTTCACTGTTTCACAGAATCGATAAGACAATCTATAAGGAATCGAATCGTTTTACAGAATCAACAAGGTAATCGGAATTGTGAAAATCTTATAAATTCCCAACCCTTTAAATACTTGACTGCAGCTGTTGTCATAGGTCTCTTGCAAAATTTCTAATCCAACTTTTTACATGCAGAGAATAATTATTGTCTATTCTGCTTTGAAAGATATTTCATGCTCTGTCAGATCGAATGGATACTGTTGGTAAATATCAGTTCTCTAATGCCTAGAGAAATTAAACCTCTTAACTTGAACGGAACTTCCTCACAGACATAAGATCTCTTTGATAATCTGAATTTTTTAATATTTACAAGAGAAGAAATTAGAACATTAAGTTCTTACTTCCAATTATGGATTAGGTACTTTATATTAATTGAGCAAGAAGGTTGAATACCTGCAAGTTGGATTGTCTTGTGCAGTTTATCTGCATCTCTATCCGTTTATTGTAAACACTTTCTGACAGATCCCCATTGGAGCCATGCTTGTTGTAGTTTCTTCTACATAATCTACTGTTTGCTGAGACTCTGTCCTCTATTTAATGTGACTCAGTGGAAGAAAAGAAGGCCGTAAAACGAAGCTATCAGAAGATCCAGGAAGACGAAGAGGATGAAGACGATGATTACAGAATCCACATGTCTCCACACATCACAGATGCCTCAGCCAATCAGCTGGTACTAATGCGTTAATAATCACTGACATATTACTTAAAGAAGCTGTGTAAAGCAGTGCAATTTTCAAATACTTTGCATCTTACTGTTAAAGAAAAGCATTTTTTTTTTTTAGCCAGGGGTTAAAAACTTTGCTCATATTGAACGCATTTATCTTACATCCAGTGTTATTATTTTGCTCTTCTGGGCTTTTTTGTTGATTTTTCCTTAAACTAGTTTCCAAGTCAAGTGTAAAGCAGCTCAAAGAGGCTCCATTAATTTTTTCCTCATTTGATCTCATCTGTTTTTATTTTTGCTGGAGTTCCCATTTTAACCCGTATGTGTTTGATCTTGAACCTTTTCAGACTGAGGAGCTGGTTAAGGCTCTGCAGGATTTGGAGAACGCTGCATCAGGTGACGCAGCTGTTCGGCAGAAGATCGCCTCCCTTCCACAGGAAGTTCAGGACGTTTCCCTCCTGGAGAAGATCACTGGTAAGCTCTGACAATCTATTTCTAAGATGGATGTATTTAGATTGTATTGTTTATGTAGGTTGGGTTGATTTTTACATGGTTTTGTTTTACAATGCAGCTGAAGTTCATGATTGAAATATAATCCAGAGTTACTGTTTAAGAATTTAGTTCCAAAACTAATAGAAATGTAAAGATAAGAAGTGAATATTTAACAATAAATTGTTAAACATAGTGTCTAGAATAAATTCTAAAATCACGTCATTTATTTAAATGTAATCATTCAGCTGGGTTGAATATTAGTATTATAGATATTATTAAACACCTGACAGGACCAATTCATGCTGAGCACTAAAGAACAAAATCTACCAAATTAATGTATCTGAGAGACTATAAAATAGTTCAACATTTAAGCAGATTATTATGAAAACTTAACGATCAACTTTATTTTTAATTCAGACAAGGATGCAGCAGACAAGCTGTCTAAAACTGTGGATGAGGCCTGTTTACTGCTGGCGGAGTACAATGGCCGACTGGCAGCAGAGCTGGAAGACCGCAGGCAGCTTGCTCGCATGCTGACTGAATATATCAGCAGCCAGAAGGAGGCGCTAATGGAAAGGGAGAAGAAGCTAGAGGTAAAGTATGTCTTTGTAAAAAAAAAAAAAAAAAAAAAAGAAGTAAATCTACATCAATGGCCTGTATTTATCAAAGTTCTCAGAAATGTCATTATATTTGTGTTTAAGTGTGGATTTAATTGTAAAAAATCAGCTTGGAAGTCAGTTAAAAGGGCCAGAAATAAAAATCCATGTTTAGCCCAGTAAGCCTTCATTTATTTTTCTCATCAACGATGCCTGAAATATTCATATATATTAATGCTGTGGATTAAAAACTGTTTATTTTTCAGGGTTTTTTTTTAGTTATTGTGGTGACAATTTTGAACCGGATGGCAGTTAATTGAGTAGTTATTTATTTAATTTACCCTAAATTTGCTAATGGATTCCTAGAGGAAACCTGTTTTGAAGGAAAGGGAAACACTGTTGCTTACTGAGTTATTTGTAGGAAGAAAACATAAAAGGAACCTTTAGTCCAACATCAGGAAAGAAAAATATAGGAGGATATATCTGGACTTTTGACTGCTTTTCATCTAGGCTGCATTCACTTATTATCTGACTGTAGAGAAATGCCTGAAATAATATTTACAATTATACATTTATAACCCCAACAATTTGTATAGAGGGATGTTTATTCATTTTCTCTTTTATTTGTTTTACATAGCTAAGATCTAAACCCTTCCTTATCTTGTCTCCTCTGTATATTAATGGAGGTCCTAAATTAACAGAGATAAAAATGATCTCTCAAAGGATTTTTTCCCCAATCATTTATTTTATGTAAATTATTAAAGAAGATAGTTTGTATTTTTTTTTATTAATCTTGTCATCCTGCATAGTTAAGCACTATGTTATGTATTGGTGCCTTCTAAAAAATTGCGACACCTCTTGAGGTGTCTAAAAATACCAGGGAGAGTAAAAGTGAATGCATTTGATCATTTCAATTTACACCGAAATCTGAAAGTAGGAGTTTCTGACATGTTTTATATTTGCAACAGAAAATGACTCTGAGAAAGTTGATAAACATGAGTCCAGGTCTGTGTGATCAGCTTGGTGTCTTCTATCTTTAGCTTCTGTCATAGTTACATCAGTTGATTATTGTGAAAAAGTAGCTTAGATAAAAACCTCTTAGATGTTTTGTTCACTCACTGAATTGATTTCTGTTCATAATTCCGTACCTAAATACTTATGACTTAAAGTGACCCACCATTAACAAATTCAAATGCATTCAGGAATTATTTTGAGACAGGGAATCTGTAGAAGAGCATCATGTTACAAATAATTACTGGATAAAGTCTGGATGGATGAGCCTCAGAGGGTTTCATTAGAAAGAAGCAAATGCTCAGGGAGTCAGATTAACTCTTTGCTTGTTGTATTAAAACAGAATAGAACAGAATAGAGCTGTTTAATTATTATTAAATGCATGAAATCAACTCAAATATTTATTGTGACCCTAAAATCAAAACACAAAATGTTCTTTATGGATTTAAATAGTTGTGTTCAAGAGAACAGGTTGCTGAGATAAATATCCACCCTTGTTGAACATGAACTACAGTATGTACTAAATCCAGTCGTTAAACTCTTAATTTTTAAATAATTTTTCTTATTAATAATTATAATTTAGAGTGCAAGAAGTGGCCAAAGCATCTCCAGATGTCGCAGAATTTACCGCCACCTATAGGCCTGGAGTGCCAAAGGGTTTCTTCTGTCTCTCATTAAATGTAATGTAACCAAACACTGGGTGCCTCTTCCATTGTAATACATTGGAATCTGCTTATAGTGATCACGTTAGTCCAGAGCCAATTTGAACACTATTATCGGTTGATTACTATATCCAAATTTACCGTTATTTCCCTTATTTTCATGCAGAATATCATCTAAATGCCATTTGTATGGTTTTTTAATTAGAAAATTGAAAGGAAACTGCATCCCTCATCTTAGCTCTGGAAGAGACAACAGTCTCCACATCTTCATCATCCTCCTCCTCGCTGCGCGCAGCACTGGTACCCGCACCAAAGCCCTCCTGTGCCTCCGCAATGATGTCCTCATCCGTCACAGGCTCTGACACCGGAGTGCTGTCATAACTTTCGATCCACTTAATAATTATTTTTGCACATGTTTACATTCATAAAACGGCCAAAAATAAACACTATGAGCGGATTTCTTGATTACTATACACAAATTATATAAAAAGCATTTGTATAGAAAATACTTTTGTCCCAAGCCTTTTGAACATTATAAGCGGTTGATTACTATATCCAAGACCACTATAAGCAGATTCCACTGTACTGAGCTTATATTGGAAACGCATTTAATTAACCATCCTTGGAACAGAGCATCTGTTTGGTTTTCAGTTGTGCACTAAATGCTTAAGATTTTGACAAAAAATATACTGTTTTGTAAATTCTCCCTGCATATATTTTTATTTCAAATGAATGACAAAATATTTTTTGAGAAACTGTCAATCAATGCGCTCCCTGCTGTTGCCCTCAGGAGTATAAACAGAAGCTGGCGAGAGTGACTCATGTGAGAAAGGAGCTTAAGTCCCACATCCAGAGTCTACCGGATCTGTCTCTGCTGCCCAACGTCACCGGCGGCTTGGCACCTCTACCCTCAGCGGGAGACCTCTTCTCCACCGACTGAGAGCTCTTAGGTTGAACAGACTACTGGAACGTCCCTCCGCAGCCAACCTCAGCCCCATGTTTGAATAACAAGGATGCTCCTGGCTTTGCCTCCACCTTGAAGGCATGTGTGGGAAAACTTCTTAAAGAAGAGTAGCTGCCTACGCCACCTGCTAACTCAATCCTAGCGGGACAAGGAGGAGACATGAGAGGCAAAGCAGAGAACTGAGACTCTGTCCGACCGGATTCTACGCCACCAGCCGGGAAGTTTGGTTCCTGATTGTTTTTATTTTCTTTTAAACCCTAAAATGTTTCAATTAAAGCCTCATCCTGTGTTGTATGTTTTTCCAATTCCTCTAGGTTATGGCTACAGTCTGAAGAGGTTATTATTCAATAGATTGATTGTGTTTTTTGTTGGCTTTCTGTTTGTGTCTCTTTATCAACGCTCGGCAAGACCAGATGTTTGATGTGAGTGAAAAGATCATGTTTGGTTCACCATGTTTGGATATTTTTCTCATCTGTCACATCACATCTTCAGTTTAGTAACATCTCTGAGTCTGCCAAACCAGATTTGTTGAATAAAAGCATCCAAATAGAAATGAACAAATTTAAAAAATACCCTGTAGTCTCCTGTTTTTGACCAAACGAGGATCCCACCCAAAAGTCTCCTTTTTGTGCTTTTAGCTCAGGCTTAAGCTCTGACTTTGGTTAAGTTCAGTAATGTGTGATATGTTTGATTTTTGCAAAAACAAACTGCATCATTTTTTGTTAAACAGATTTGTTTTGTAGATGAGTACATCTGAAATGCTACAACGGGAAAAACGGTTACGACTAAGAGAAAATAAAGCCTTATGTTGCACGATTAATTAGAAAAAGACTAAATTTTGCTGTTAATATCTGAGTTTGTGCAGAAAAAAAATCTGAACATGTGAAAAGCTTATAGGTAGTTATAATTTCTTACCCCAAAGTATTGATATCCTTAGCCTTAAAGGTTTTAAATGAAATATTTATTTTGCTCTTTTATCAAATTTTTAGGTTTCTATGTTCTTTTTTTAGGTTTAGGTTGCTCTGTAGATGAGTAGCCACTGCTGAAGAGCTTAGTGTTGAAATAAACTGGAGATTTAACCCTGATTTCATATATTTAGCTTAATATGAATGCACTTCAATTTTGGTTGTATAATTGCTGAATAGCATTTCTACATATAGGTCATTAATATTTCACCACAGAGCATTTAATTTATGCTTTCTGAGAAATCAAACGGTTCCTGCTGAAGTTTCCCGCGTTGTTTTTTTGTTTTGTTTTTTTTGTTAGAAAGGATTTTTGAAAAACTTTTGAAAATAAGAAATGCTGTTTACTGAACTTTGAGTCTTCTGGCAGTTCGTTTTTTTTAAGCTAAAAGTAAGCTAAATGGTTTAATTTAGATTGAGATCAATACACCATAGAATTCCTAAACAGATGTTTTTGGCTTATAAAAAGAGATTTAGTTTGATTTTACTCTCCAGTGTACCCAATTAGAAAATGTTTGGATGCTTTCTTTCCATCCAGCTGTTGTATTTCGGTCTTCAGAGTAACACTGCTATTGGGACAGCCCTGGAGAAGATCAGGTTTTCTCTAATGAAAGTGATTTAGTGGATGCTAATAAATTGGAACCAATTAGAATAAAGTACTGATGGTATTTGAACTTATTTTGGTTACTTTTGAGTAACAGTGACCATTGATTGTGGCTGTTTTATTGGGTTTCTAATCTCGCCAACTACAGTTTTAATACTTTGGATTGGGAACATCTGGGAACCCCTGTTCTGTTAAACAATTTACTCTGTCTTAAAATTCTAAACTAAGCTAAAGCTTTTGCTTGTTTGAAATATAACACTTTTGTCTTTTTAATATTGTTTTGAATTATTTCTGCAATGAAAACAGCAACATTCCCCTGTGTGCTGTTTCCCCTGTTCTGGTAATCTACCTTTAAGTACAGTATGGCTAAATAGGAGTTATAAAAAAGAAAAAAAAAAGAAAAGATGTCTTCCTGTTTTTCTCCTCTCTTCAGTTTTTAGATTTTTTTTATTTTACAATGAAGTGTTTTATGCAGATACTATTTAAAAGAAAAACAATTTACTAGGATAAATATTTAAAACAATTTTGCATAAAAAGAGGCTCATGTAGGTTACAGATCACTGCATGAAAATGCAAACATTAAATTGTCCATCCCTCATGTGACTTAATAAACTAAGATGACCTACAGGAGATTCTCAATTAAACCAGGAAAGATCAAACCTTAGTATTTTCTTTAAAAATATGTTTTTATGTTCTTTTTACACATAAACCCATAACCTTTTCAAAGTATTTTAAAAGGGCATTTTACATATTTAACATGTATGAGAAATAACATGGAGAAATGTTTACAGAGAAATTCATTTAATAGAGAAACATAAATAGATGGACTTCATTGCTCCGTCTCTTCTTCCTTATCAGAAGGTAAGTGGTTGAGCTGGGGAGAATTGGGATGGTCAGCAAAATAAGCTGTGTTGTAGAGCCTGTCCACCACACAGCAGCTGAGATGGCTGCGGGACATCTTCATGCCGTTGGCCTTGACCCACATGTTGGCCTTAATGTCATAGAACTCGACATCAGAGATGGTAGATACGCCATCAAAGCCTCCGACTGCAAAGAGGAGGTCATCCATCACGGAAATGCCAAAGTTGCTGCGTTTCTTTTTCATGCTGGGAATTTTGCACCAGGTTTTGGTGGAGACATTGTAGGCCTCAACAGTGTTTAAACGTGAGACTCCATCGAAACCACCAACCTGCAGAGAAAGATTTAAAGAGAATATGGTCAGAATGGAACAAAACAGAATAAGATAATCACTGAAACCTACGCAGTGTCATCAAATTAACAAGGTGTCAGTGGTTTTATGATTTTCTTCTTATTATATTATTACACATTTGTATTATTTTTATTGCAACTGGTAAGATTATTTAGAATATATAGATTATGATTTCAAGGAGTCTTACCAAATGCAGTGGTGTTACTGTACTGACAGATTCTAGTACTTATTTTGAGTAAAATCTCAAAAGATTAATATTCTAACATAATCTGCTCTTGCTTTGTACATCCATCTCACATAAGATCAAAAATAGTTTTTGGCTAGAAAAAAGATTGTGAGACTTGGTTTAATGAATTGTTTTTCTGTGAGGGAACTAAGGCTATAATGAAATCATGCACCTAGTCTGCCTTGGTGGTGATGGAGGTGTAATAATTTAAGGGGTATTTTCTTGCAATACTTTGGTACCACTAAGACATAACAGTCCATTTAAATATTGTTACTGATGATGCCCATCCCATCATGACCAAATTATAGTTTCTGAGTATATGTATCCAGTTAGACAAGTATGTTGCACCTAAACATTTGGGGTACAAATCAGTATAAAAATGCTACATATTTCCCTGGATGGAAACAATACTCTAAAAATCTGTGTATTGTTAAAATAATTCCAGATTACAAGTTTTGGTGAATTAGATTTTTTCAGTTTTCTACTAAAACTGTTTAAGTCTCAAAAGTAATAAAGTAGACAAAATTAATACCTACATACGCATACAGGAGAAGATTTTTATTTTTGTTGAATTTTCCTTAAATGTAAATATACCTGACCATAATTTATTTGGCACATAATATTGACAGGATCATTTGATTAGGTTGAAAAAGACACATTTCTGCTTTGCTCAGTGTTGTGATTGTGCACCTCTATACAGTACTATACTATACTATACTAT